AATTATTATTGAAAATGGCCGTTATATCTGAACCCAAGTAAAGTTCTTTAATGAATCTCATTCTAAATTATCATTTTAAGCTCTTAATTTTTATGTATGTAAATAGAGGGAAATTGATATTTTCTTTTTCCTTCCCAGGTTCTAACTCGGGCGAAGCAGATAACCAGTCGGAGTGGACTGATGTTCAGAAGAAGATTATCCCGTGGAAAAATAACGTTCCAGACTTAGACCTGGAGCTAGTTTTTCAGGATCGCGCTGCTAAGCTGGGAAAGTCAATCAGTAGACTGATTGTGGTGGCCTCACTCATTGACAAACCCACCAATTTAGGAGGTAAAATTACAGTTTTCCAGGAGGCTTGCTGGATCTTTTGCTCCTGAACGTTTTTAATCTGTCCAGTGCCCTTTTGGCTCTGTTCCACATTTAACCCTCTCCGCGAGCTGCAGAGCACTGTCTGGGACGTGGTGAACCTGGCATTCGTTAGACTGGCGGCAGTAACCGGCGTGTTCTGTGCAGGGCTGTGCCGGACCTGCGAGGTGTTTGGGGCCTCGGCGCTCGCCGTTGGCAATCTTCAGTGCATCCGAGACAGACAGTTTCAGCACCTCAGTGTTTCCGCAGAACAGTGGCTTCCGCTGGTGGAGGTGGGTGGAAAGCGATTTACTGTTAAAATTCTTATGTGCTAAAATCTTTTGTTGAACTCTTGTCTTCATGTATCAACCCTTTTGCAAGTAGTCCAGCCTTTAACAGTTTAAAAACAATACTGAAAAGTAAAATACATCCCACTCTGTTCTCTTTATTTTGTTTGGGGGGGGGTAATTAGGTTTGTTTGTTTGTTTATTTATTATCTTTAATGGAGGGACTGGGGATTGAACCCAGGACCTTGTGCATGCTAAGCACATGCTCTACCGCTGAGCTATACCCTCCCCTCTCCTTTTATGTTTCACATGGTTGTATTTTGAGAAATCCTCAATAATGTAGAATTCTTTTCAGTAATATGTGTCCTGTTGCAACTCTCTCTTGTTTTATAAATGTATGTGATATTGGGGAGTTCTTTTTTATAGAGTGTAATTCTGTCCTTTTCCATTTAACGAATTTCAGTTTCATAAAATTTTTTTTTAATTCTGATTTTACTCCCAGCAGGAGTAAATGAATGATTTAATATTCTACTCTTTTTAAACTAATATTAAGGTCAGACCACCTCAGCTAATTGATTATCTGCAGCAGAAAAAAGCAGAAGGTTATACCATCGTTGGTGTGGAACAAACCGTCAAAAGTGTAGACCTTACGCAGTATTGCTTTCCTGAGAAGTCTCTACTCTTGTTGGGGTAAGGACATTCTCTTGAGTCCCTGTCTAGAAAATGTTTCAGAGGATTTACAGTGTGCTTGGATTCCTGATACTACACGTGCCCCTGACTTCTGACAAGGTTTATGGAAAGCGCCCCTAGTTTTTGTTTTATTTCACCTATTTGGTATGGACAGGTGAACCCAGAATTGAACCATAAACGTTTTTGTTACTCTCTTTTATGTTCCTGGTACTACGGTGCCAGGTACTATGGACTTGTTTCATTTAGTAACCTGCCTCTTCCAGTAACATCCAGAGTATCTGAGAAAAAACTTTATTATAAGAAAGCTAACTTTCTTCTCCCGTTTTTTTCTTCATCAGAAATGAACATGAGGGGATTC